CTGCAGAAAGGCAGAACACAGAAAAAAATTGGTTTTTATCCTTAATTCAAGTTACAGCTTGTTTTAATTCCACCTAAAAAATAAATCAAGGTCAAGGAAGAAAAATATCCCAACTTTAACATACTCTGTGAATCTGATACTGCAATATGTATGAAGAGATGAAGGTCCTTCAAGGATCTTGTTTAAACACAATTAATGGCAGACAACAAAGCTGGAGTCTTCTTGCTTCAAAATCCCACACTCTGCACACCGCAGTCATCCCTCCTTTGAAATCTACCAAAGCCTCTTCTCTTCTCCAGTTACAACAACACTAGCATACAACAGGAATATTTTATCCAGGTATGCAGACCATTCAGCAGGACGCTCCACTCCATTCAGCAAGACTTCTAATAAATTAAATATTTAAGTAAAATGCCATTTCTTGGCTTGCACTTTAGAGGGGAGAAACAGTTTTCTGTTTTCTGATGGCAGCCAGAAGCTTTCCTTTCTTCTTTTTTAAGTTTTTGAGGTTTTGTGGTTTTTATTCAGAAAGCTACCAAGACTTCAACATAAACTGATTCATTTAAGAAAATCTAGCATTTTGTCAAGTTAAAATGAAATAAAATCTGAGCCAAATTGCTCTATGTCAGCTCAGGGAGACAATGCAAAAGGCTTCTTTTAAGAGTATGCAAGAAGGAATGATTCCAGAACTGGAAAGGATGAACTTTTCATGCGAGGTTCAACCATAGGCTATAAACAATGCCACACCTCCTCCCTAAGAACCACAAAGATGCTTAAGGAATGGCAAAAGACAAAGGACAGAGTAGAACTCTTCCAAAGATTTTCCCAGCTTTTGGAAATAGGTCAAGGACCACCCTAATCACTCTTTCTGTATTCAGTAGTGAATAAATTAATGCATTAATGAGCCAAATGAACTTCATGAGCTTTACAAACCCATGTAAACTTTTAGCATCTGCAACATCCAGCAGAACGCCTATAAACGATATGAAAAAGCACTTTATTTTTCTTGAAAACACACACCCATGCACGCAGCTCCTCTTTTAAGGCTTTCCAGTTCTTGCATCAGGAGAGACTAGGGATAATCACTCTGCATTCACCTTCTTTGTACCACTCATGATTTCACAGACCTCCATCACATCACCTTCAATCAAAGTCTTTTCCAAACCACAGTCCTAATTTACTTAGTTGTTCCTTGCCTGGAAACCACTCCAAATCTTGGTTGCCCTTCTCTGAATCTCTCTCAGGTCTTTTTGGAAATGAGGGAGTGGTGGAAAATGGGACAAGTGGGGAGGAAGATGAAACCAGTACTGCACACTGTATTCCAGATACTGACGAACATGAATTTATACAGGAACAAAATGGTATTTTCCATCTTGTTCTCTGCTCCTTTCTCTCCTCAAGTTCTGTCTGCCTAGAGCCCGCTACCAAGCATTTGGGCATTGAGCAGTCATATCCAGAAAGATATTTTTTATTTTTTAAGAATTATAATCTTCCCTACTAGGTCAATACATACACTGGACACAAAATTAAGATTAGGTTTTCAGCATTTCTTCACTTCACCTTACTTGGCAGAGCATTTAAGCTTCTGTTGTTAACTGAGAAGTCAACTTAGTGTTCCTGCAACTGTTCTCAAGGAGTTCCTGCTTTTACTACCCTGAGCAGCTCAGCCCTGTCAAACTGCATTTCAGACTATTGGCTGGTGATGTCTCTGCTGGGAATAGTAACTGGTTAATTTTGCCCGTTTCCAAATTTTTTGTCACTCCTGCAAAGAAGTTAAATCCAACCATACCTGGATTCCTGGTACTTTGACAGAAATGTTATGAATCAGAGGACAACTCAAAATATTGCTTGCTTCCATTCACATTAGCTCTTTGACAAGCTGTCCAATTGTTATGTTCTGACAATGACTTCTACCTATTCCCACTTGGATTTCAACTTAAAAATATATTCTATAATAATTTCAGATGTACTTCAAGACTGTTTATCTTTTTAAGATGAAACCTCAAATCCTTTCCAAGTAACTTCATTTATTCCAGAGACCTCTCCTCTTTCACCATTTCTTCAGCCATGTCACATACTCAATATTATCCCACTGGTGCCAAATCCATCAGAACACTTCCTGCTGCCCTTGCAGAGCAGAGCTTTTATGTCCAAGTGGACAGACCAGAAAAACTTGTGGAGAACATCACAGCAATATTAATGTATGCAGCACTTGCTGAAGTGTTTAAGCTACAGTGAAGGAATGGAAAGAGAGCATTTACAGATGCACTTAGATTCATTTCACCCAACTCTGACATCTAAAGCCTGATATCCAGTTTAAGCTTTTCCATTCTTATCCATTAGCTTACCCTATGATCCATTTATAGTAAATGAAGGAAGAAAATGCATTTCCAAAAGCAATTCACCTAACAGATTTTGGGATGAGGAAATCCTCCCTGCTCCAGACCCTCTTAATAGTGTAAGGGGTTTTGGAAACAGTATGATCAGTGTATCTGATCACTAAGTGTGAACTTTATTGTTACATAGATCAGCAATATAAATGATGACATTTAAAACTGTACAGGGAGAAAATGTCAAGAATTCAAAAACCTGTGATTTGCTCTCTTGCACAACTGCCGCCCTAGCAGTCCTAATACCACTTTCTTTGTCATTGTCATATACAATTTATTTATGACAAATACTTCAGAACTGACATTAGCAACATAAGAAACTGTTCACCAACACATGGTTCACTGTGAGAAATCCTAACTGAGGGCCTGACCTAACAGACACCTGACCTGTGTCTTCTGAAGTCAGCTACACAAATGAGCCTCAAGTGAAAAAGACAGGCCTTGGCTCTGGTTTTGCAAATGAACTTAAGATTTCCTCTAAAAAAGATAGGTGTTTATTATGTGGTCTGACACTGATTAAATAACTCAGTTTAAACAGACATGGAATAACCTTCTACCAAAAAAGCTACTCATTGAGATCTTCAGGCATTCACCTACATGAGTACTAATAGTATCATTAGAGCCACTGTGAGGGAAGAATCAAAAACATTTTTGTAAGGATAATGAATTCTCACAGATCTTGCATTAAGTTAATTTTTTAGAGACAAAAGACATGCTCTGTTTGGAAATTTGTTTATTCTGTGGCATCTCTACCTCCTATGAAACATCTGGTAGCAATCTGACATAAACAGCACCTTAAAATACACAGCCAGGCAGGGGAGGTGTGGAGAGTGTCCTCACCCATTCCAAAACCCTCCTGTTGAAGAGCTTAATTTTTTCAGCTGTAACTATGAAAAGATTCTGTGTGCACAAAGAGAACATTCATGACTCAAAACATATTAAATGACTACATCTGAACTTTGAAGCAATTTGTTATATTAGAAAAACAAATAATGGAAACTGTCAGATACTAAAATATTTTGTTAGGGAATGCAAGTGCAACTGAAAAAACAAAGCCTGGAATGGGAGCAGCATCCCAGCTTCAGCTGAGCAGAATACTCAAAAATAGACAACCATGAAAATAATGTATGATAAAACTAACTGTGTTTTCTGCCATCTATTGGCCTTTTTAGCTAACAATTATGAAACAAAGGACTACACCACTCACAAGGTACAGCTTCTACTGTCTTACAAGAGAATGCATAGAAGGTCCTCTCAAACTACCACTGAATAATTTGAAGCAAGTTTCTTTATGCAATTGTTTCAGTCTAATGCAGTCACTGTTGAAGAAAGCACTGGGAGATTCTGCTGGTCACAAAAAACAGGTGAAAAAAGACTGAAAATCCCCTGACTTAACTAAAAAACCATAGCTTAGGATAAAAATAAACACTTAAATTCAACAGCTAACTATTATGCTTGTTTTCAGCTACTAAGAAATAATGATCAAAACATACAAGTTTTACTGAGCAGCACATTTCTCAATAAACTATATTCAAAAAATGAAGATTTAAGTTATTGCCTACAATAAAATGCCCAAATGTGTTGAGTAAATACTAACAAACTGGATGTCACTTCAATTCATACAGAATACAGCTAATGTCATTTGTATAGACTTCCCACCAGTTATAATTAAAAGTAAAGAGGTCTTTTCTTCTTTGTCACCTCTCTATTCAGGCCTTATTTGCGTTTGTTTGTACTTGCTATCTGTTAATCTCTCGTAACAAATGACAACAATAACTGTTACTATTATGCATGGAAATTAAACATGTAGATAACTGTGTGAAGGGAGCTATTTTTGAAAAAAGCAGTATTAGAAACATGTAGCTCTTTATGTCTCCTGTTTTGCTTTGATAATTAAGCCATAGCCTTGATTTCTTTTAAACAAAAAACTTTTCCATGGTCATGCATGTTGCAATCAAATTCAATACATGCATTATGTTCTGATTCAATCTGTTCAAGTGCATTATTGTTAACCCTTATTTGATCCATGCCTGTCATCTTCACTGACCAAACAAAACCAATCCTTCATTTCCCAGCAGCTATCACTGAGTCTGTAAATTAATTTGTAGTACATCAAACAAAATCATAATAGGGAACCTTCAGCTTTGTTCTATTTCGTATCTGCAACACCGTGGGAAATGAAATAAAAGTTGACAGAGGGGAAAAAAAAGCAACTAGGGTTTCCAAACATCCTGCCCACAAATGCTCAGTTCATTTTAAAATATAAAAAAGTATGTGAAAAAACCCTGAAATAAAGCACAATATAAAAGAAAATCCCTGAAGAGCATTAAGTCCATGAACTGTAGCTAATAGGGAGAAACTTGCAAGTCAAAAGTAATTTTTGTTTCTTTGTAAAATTGTTCTTGAGAATTAGCCTCTCCCATTCTAATGATCAACAAGCATTAGAAATATTACCCCAAAATACAGAGGCAAGTGGTTTTGCAACAGCCTTTCAAACAGAAGATGCAGGGGTCAACAACATGCATTTACTGAGCTTTATCTTAATAATTTTTACAAATTACATTTGACAATGTAGCTTGGTTGCCTGCTACAGCAGAGGACTGAATGTGC